CAGCTAATTTTTCTTTCATCAGAAATAAATACACAAATAGACAAGTTGTGTAAGCATGGCCAAGTTCCTTAGCCATGTTTCAGCTTCTTTATATATAAAACAGATAATAAAAGTATGTACCTTATAGTTGTTAGAGTAAGATAAGTGTATATGAAGAGTTTTAAACTAAACCTGTCACTCAGTATTCAATAAATGTGAGCATATATGTATGCTACAATATAAGTGCTCAATAAAGACTGGCATTTATTATGTACATAATATAAGCTCCCTTCTAGCTTTCTCCCTGTGGTTAGAATTTCCTGGTAGATAAAATGGCATATACTTCAATGCCTAATTTTTTTCTGTTAATGTCAAAGTAACGTAACTAACTCATATACCTCTACCTTCTTTAAGCTTATAATAATTTGCTATTTTTAGAATCAATTTTCTCATATACACACATGTATACATATACACACATATATGCATGTACATGTACATGTGTGTATACATACATACATATATATATGTATTTTTATAGTAGGCTACTTCTCTATTTTAACATCCTGTTCTCATCTTAAGGAAATTGAGATACTGAGAGATTAAATCATATTACCTATTGTTAGAACTGATATCCACTCAACTAAGCACCCCTTATTCCAAAAGAGCAGTCCAAAAGAAGAGTCTAAGAGTGTGTGTGTGTGTGTATGTGTGTGTGTATGTGTGTGTGTGAGAGAGAGAGAGAGAGAGAGAGAGAGAGAGAGAGGAAGAAAATGAACACACATGTGCTTATATATGTAAAAAGCAATGTTTTCTAAGAAAGGTCCAAAATAGGAATTTGGTAAAACCTGGACTAGTTATTACTTTCTTCTTATTACTACAACGTCAACTGGTATCCTATCCCTAACCTAAGTACTAATTACTCAAGAATCTTTTTTAGTTCCATGCTTTTTCCCCATTATTAATGTAATAAATGCTGGCTGAAATAAATCATACAGAAATATAAAAACGAAAGCCCCAATACTCCCGTTTCCCAAAATCCCACTCCTCAGAGGTAACCATTTTGATATACCTTCAAAAGGACAGTGATGACTGACTGCCCCGCAGTACTCCTTTTTGGTCTGTTCTATCCTAATAGGGCAGGGTGAAAGAAGGACTCCAGAACAGTTACCTCGTACAGTCCATCTGCAGCAGGGAAGTAAACCTCTGACAAGGAAGTTGCATGCACTCTACATAAGAAGTCCAAGTTGAGCACTATCCACCTTTCAAAACACTATCTGAAACAATGTATTATAATAAACAAGGATAAAATATTCTAGATGTTTATACAGTGATTTCAACACAGGCATTATTTCACCAACGTCATCTCTATCATATCTTCAAAAGACTCTTAAAATGGATTTCTATGGACACTTATTGTAGCAAAATAGCTTTAGGGTTAAGAGCATAGGCTCTGCTGCCAGAATACCAGCTCTGTCCTCATCCATAAAATCCTGGTAATAACAGAGACTACTCCACAGGATTCTTATGCAAATTCAATGAGATGATACTGGCAAGCCCTTAGCAGGTTCCTGGAATATATAGCCTCCATAATTTTTACTTACTATTACTGAGTCCTAGAAAAATAAGCAACTTCCCCAAAATTGCATGCCAAGTAAGTGATGTGAGAACAGAAAGCAACAAAAGGATATTAACAAACAGTAGAGCATTCCAGTTTACTCATTTTCAATTTCACTAGCCTAAATCCTCAAAGAAGAAAAAAATAAAATTTTTAAATTAATAAACCCAAAAGATTTCCAACAAAAAAACCACTCTGCTTAGGAACCCTACCTGCTCTAAATGCCCACAGACATGTTCAACATAAATTATGCTGCTCAATGAAAATAAAAACAATCTTTAACCATCATTACCAACTCTAAATTACTGTACAACTCCAGAGAATGCCAAAAGTTTTGGTGCCAGATACATAAATGAGTGCATAAACCCATTAAGATCATAACATTCCTCTAGAAAGATACATTTCCAAAGACCAAATCACCCAAGATACAAAATTTTTAAATTCTAGTAATATTTTCTATTACCATCAACCTTAACAGAAATGCCAACATGTAACTTTAGTTTTTAAAATATTTATATATGGTTTTATATTTATATATATATAATATTAATATATATGTATTTAGAGGGGGGCAGGGAGATCCAAAAACAAAGAGGAGGGGGAAAGAGAGAGAGAGAGAATCTTAAGCAGGCTCCAGGCCCAGCGCAGAGCCCAATACAGGGCTTGATCTCACAACCCTGAGATCATGACTTGAGCTGAAATCAAGAGTCAGATACTTAACCAACTGAGCCACCCAGGCACCCAACCGACTTGTAACTTTAGAAAAATATGTAAGTAAATCAACTTTAACAAAGGATGAGAAATTGTAATTTTTAACAGGTTGAACCACATGAAGTTATATTCAAACATTTTAAATATATAAAATAAGTTTGTATGGTTCAAACAATTTACTTGATGACCAGAATGGTCTAGAGTATAAGCAGTCCTCTAATATCTTTTTTTTTTTTGATGTCTGATCGTATTTATTTGTCACTCATAGAAAAATCTCATTTTTGACTGGACTCAGACTTAAAGGTAGAAGCTCTCAGAGAGGACAGCCTCTGTCTCTTGGCAATCTGTTCCTGGCATTTTTCTTTGGCCTCCTTCATTCTCTTGGCCAAAAGTTTAGCATATTCTGCAGCCTCTTCCTTATTTTTCTTAGTGCGCTGCTTCTTCAAAGCAATACGCCGCCGTTTGTGCTGGAGGACTCGTGGAGTAACAAGACGCTGAATCTTAGGCGCTTTGGTTCTAGGTTTCTTCTCTTCTTTGTTTAGGGGCTTTCTCACAACATACTGGCAGAGATCATCTTCTTTAGAGAGAGTCTGCGGATTCTGCTGGCTCTTTTGGACCCCAGGCGACGAGGCACAGTAGTATCAGGGAGTCCAGAAATATCCTTCTCCCCTTTTTTTACAATGACCAAGTTGAGAACACTGAGATTGGCATCCACAATGCAACCCCAAACAGATTTGCGCTTTCTCTCTCCAGTCCGCCTTGGTCTATAGCAGGAATGCCCCTTACTCAGCAGCAGGAGGACACGACCATAGGTCAAGACACCCTGCTTCATGGGGAAGCCTTGTTTGTCATTGCCACCACTGATTCGGACCACATAACCCTCCCATTCTTCACCCAGAGCATCAGCAGCAACTTCTGTGGCCATACGCTTCTCATAAAGGTACGAAGTTTGCGTTCATCGTCCACTTCAATGAGTTTCTGGCAGCCAGTAGCTGGGAAAGAGATGTTCAGCTTCATCCTGAAGCAGCCTACCGCCTCCGAGGTGCCATGAAAAAGAGCCTCTAGTATCTTTACAAATGATTATGACTGCCATTTTACAGAAATTCAATAAAGAATACAGAACTCAAAGAAATTGTGGGTCACATCATTCTCATACATTTTTAATTTGTGTATTATCTCAAAGTTGCCAAAATGGAGTGATAAATGCAAAGCCTTAAGTTTATATTTTATAAGGTTGGCCCTCATAGTCTTCCAGCAAATCTGTACATTTAAAAAGTCTGACTTATACCAAGTTTTCTTTCAATTATAGTTAATTTTCTAACTTAACATTTATTTCCCAATGTCAAGTTATTTGTCTTATGAAGAAAAGGACATGTACCTTTAGAGTGACAAGAAATAAGCAATTTCACTTCTTCCCATTTTTACTACTGGTCATAAACCCCAAATTGGCAACAATAAAGAAAAATGCAAAAATGCAAAAAATCAGAGCCTAAAAATCCCACTCATAGTCCTACTACACAAAGATAACCTAATGTCAACCACACTCAAGTTTTCTTCCAGTCTTTTTTCTGTTTACTCTTTTTTAAAGACCTATTTATTTATCGGGGGAGGTGGGGCATAGGGAGAAAATCTCAAGCAGACTCCCTGCTGAGCACAGTCTGACTCCCAGATCGTTCTCACGACCCTGAGATCATGACCGGAGCAGAAAACAAGAGTCGGACGCTTAACTGACTGAGTCACCCTGGCGGCCCATTTTTCTGCATACTTTTTATCCCTCGATTAACTTTACACTTTTTATAGTAGCCCCTGGCATTCAAAGATGTTTCCACATTCATAATTTCAACGATTTGCAAAAGACCCTAAAAGTGATGACATAATAAAATTAATTATTCGCTGAAGTGCTGCTAAAATGAGAAACTTATATAACCTCCACCCATTCAATTCTCAGTCTGAGTTTGATTTTCCTTATAGGTAGTCATATAGCCTGAAAGTCATATAGTTATCCCAACCCCACACCAAAAAACTATTTTGTTTTTGAAAAATCTTTCCCCCAAATAAACCTGATTAACAATGTTAACGATGGAAGTGCCAGTGGCAGTTCTTTGCCATAAAAAGAAACTTCAGATAAATTATAAATGTAATTTATGTAAGTTTACTGCATATTAATGCTACTACTCTACACAGTATCCACATTTTAATAAAATTGATTTAGGTTTCCTACAAGTAACTTAAACTTTTGTATTAAAACTGATGACTATCAAACTGTGTGATGGGTATGTTAAGGTTCACTGCAATATTCACTCTACTTCAATAAATTAAAAAATGTTCCCATAACAAAAAGCTAACAACTTTTTATATTTTCCTACATTTTTGTGAGGGAATTTGTCTTTTTTATTTTTTTAAAGATTTTTATTTATTTATTGAGAGAGAGAGAGAGAATGGTAGAGAGAGAGCATGAGAGGGAAGAAGGTCAGAGGGAGAAGCAGACTCCCCGCTGAGCAGGGAGCCCGATGCGGGACTCAATCCCGGGACTCCAGGATCATGACCTGAGCCAAAAGCAGTAGCTTAACCGACTGAGCCACCCAGGCGCCCATGAGGGAATTTGTCTTAAGGGCATTTGCAAATTTCAGAACTAAGAAAGCTGTCTGATAGCCATCACTGTCAAGATTCTACACTGGAGCTACTGCGGGTCTAGGTCCGGGCAGCCGAAGAGTGTGGTAGGTAACGGTCGTCAGCGCAAGGGTCATTTCGTCGCTGGGAAGGGACGGCCCTCGCCCGCGGTGATGGTGGTTAGCAAGATGAACAAAGATGCGCAGATGAGAGCAGCGATTAACCAAAAGTTGATAGAAACTGGAGAAAGAGAACGCCTCAAAGAGTTGCTGAGAGCTAAATTAATTGAATGTGGCTGGAAGGACCAGTTGAAGGCACACTGTAAAGAGGTAATTAAAGAAAAAGGACTAGAACACGTTACTGTTGATGACTTGGTGGCTGAAATCACACCAAAAGGCAGAGCCCTGGTACCTGACAGTGTAAAGAAGGAGCTCCTACAAAGAATAAGAACATTCCTTGCTCAGCATGCCAGCCTTTAAGATTGGATGAGATTGTGTTGTTTTGTGGTTTTATTTCTGAAAGTAAAACTTGCCATAAATTAGGAATCAATTTCCCAAAATAAAATCCTTTTTTGTATGATGGTAAAAAAAAAAAAAAAAAAAAAAAAAAAGATTCTACACTAATTACTATTTTGTATCTTATGTTCTTACAAAAGCAATTTTCCACATTATGACATGTTTTCATGAACATTTCATGACTACCTAACATTCCATTAAATGGATATACAGTAATATATTTAATCATTCCCCTACCATTGGCGATTCAAGTGGTTTCTAATTTCCTGCTATTAAAAAGAGTGCTGCAACAAACATCATTCTACCTAAAATGCTGTTTGAAATTAGAATTATTTCCTTAGAACAATGACTCCTGGGCGCCTGGGTGGCTCAGTTGGTTAAGCAACTGCCTTCGGCTCAGGTCATGATCCTGGAGTCCCGGGATCGAGTCCCGCATCGGGCTCCCCGCTCAGCAGGGAGTCTGCTTCTCCCTCCGACCCTCTTCCCTCTCGTGTTCTCTGTCTCTCATTCTCTCTCTCTCAAATAAATAAATAAAATCCTTAAAAAAAAAAAAAAAAAAGAACAATGACTCCTAAAGCCTAGTAGGAAAAATGTTATTTTTCCATATTTATTTATCTCTCCCAGATCCACCTCACCAATCTCCATCCAGAGTCAAAAGGTAACTGTGCAGAAATGAGTTTACATAGCAAGTGTGAGGATGCTATCTTTAGAAAGGCCTACTGAAGAGTAATTCCCACCCTTCCCTAACTGATAAGGGTGGCTCACAGTGCCTAGACTGTTCGTGGAAACAATGTGGTTGGTATATGCTAGGAATAAGGTACCCCCAATTAAAACCTTGTATGTAGAATCTCTAGTGAACTTCCCCAGACAGACACATTGCACACATGTTGCTGCATTTTCATTGGGGGAAGATTATGTACTCTGTGTACCCCTCTTGTGAGGGAAATAGCATAAGGAAGCCTGTGTATGGATTCCTCCAGACTCTGCCTATGTTTTCCCCTTAAGATTCAGCTGTGTATCTTCACTATGTTGCTGCAATATACAACAAACATGAGTACAACTATATGCTGAGCCCACTAGCCTTTCTAGTTAATCTCTGAACATAGGGGTAGCCCTGGAGACACATTACACAGTATGTAAAGCTCATTCAGCCTACCTGACCACTCTAAAACAGGCTGAGAGAACATCTGGTCACTAGTGAGGCACCACATTCATAGCCCTAGGTAAAAACTAGAGATTACCCTGCTATTTGAGGTTATGGAGAACCTCAAGTAAAGTTAAATTTCACATATTTCCCTGCCAAGACAGGCAAATGCTTTAATTCTAAAACTCCCTAGCAGACACAGTAATTCTGAGTCTGCAGCTTTATCAGTGAGATGGCCTATCTCCTCTCACTAGACTATAAACTCCAAAAGAACAGGAATTGGGGGGCGGGGGGCTATTTGTTCACTGAATATCAAGACACCTAAAAGAATGCTCAACACATAGAAGACTCTCAATAAATATTTCTTGAATGAATAAATGGATATTCTCAGGCATCCCCAAATTTTCAAACTAAAGAAACCTGTTCTAAAAGACAACCAAATCTGTATTTCAGCTCCACTGCTTTAGTAACTCTCAGCCTCAGTTTCCTCATTCATACAATGAAAATAGCCATCTAATTTACTGGCATGAAGAGGAATACAACATATGGGTAAACTCCTCCTGGCATAAAACAGACACGTAATAACATGAATAGAACTTATTTAGAAAGCCAAGGAAGCTCAATAAGAAAATCAACATAATATAAAAAAATTAAGGGCACCTGGGTGGTGCAGTCAGTTAAAGCATCAGACTCTTGGTTTCAGCTCAGGTCTGATCTCAGGGTTGTGAGATCAAGCCCTGCACTGGGCTCCATGCTTAGCGGGCAGTCTCCTTAGGTTTCTCTCTCCCTCTTCCTCTGCCCCTTCCCACTACCCCACGGCACACACATGCTTTCTCTCTCTCTCTCTCATAAATAAATAAATAAAGCTTTAAAAAAAATTAGTTCAATCAGGTAGAATATTAAGTACTGTTACTTGGAAAGTATTACAGCGTCTGCATTTCTGCCTGATTATAGATTCCAGGGTGGATTCATGGACACCAGTTAGGCGGCCACTGTAGCAATCCAGTAAGAGAAGACACTAGTTTGAACTAGTACCACATAAGACCAGAAAGGTATCTAGAAGATGAAAAAACAAGAGGACTTGGTAGCAAACTGAATTTGAAAAGGAAAGGAAAGGGAAATGTTTCTGGTTTACACATGGATAATTGGTAGTAACAGTCACTATAAAAGGAACTGGTTTGGGGAGACAGACCATGAGTTCCTATTTGAAGACACTGAACTTGGTGTGTTTTATGGACAACAGTGAGTTTCTTCATGCAGGCCTCACTTATCCACTCATCTAACAATGAAGACTAAGGCCCACAGTTACCTATTTTATGGGTAATGGTTCAATTATCATTAGCAAAGAGCACAGGGTAGCAGGAAGGAAGGACAGGTACAAAGAAAGCCCAGCTCAATATACAAAAAATAAAAGTACAAAGGATGAGGAAAAACTGCTTTCACTGACCACTTAGATATTTAAAAATTAATCCAGGGGCACCTGGGGGGCTCAGTCGTTAAGCGTCTGCCTTCGGCTCAGGTCATGATCCCAGGGTCCTGGGATCGAGCCCTGCATCGGGCTCCCTGCTCAGCGGGAAGCCTGCTTCTCCCTCTCCCACCCCTGCTGCTTGTGTTCCTTCTCTCACTGTCTCTCTCTGTCAAATAAATAAATAAAATCTTTAAAAATAATAATAAAATAAAATAAAAATTAATACATACTGTGGATCACTTATACAATCAACTCTATTGTAAGTCAATGGGCCTAAAAGACAAGATAGTGTTCACACTATGAACTCACAATATCAATGAGGAGAAAGACAAATAATGTAAAAGAATAAACCTTGGGGGGTGCCTGGGTGGCTCAGTCGTTAAGCATCTGCCTTTGGCTCAGGTCATGATCCCAGGGTCCTGGGATCGAGCCCTGCATTGGGCTCCCTGCTCCGCGAGAGGACTGCTTCTCCCTCTCTCACTCCCCTTGCTTGTGTTCCTTCTCTCACTGTGTCTCTGTCAAATAAATAAATAAAATCTTAAAAAAAAAAAGAATAAAACTTGAAATGATCGTGGCTGGATACATCAGAATCAATTTTATGAACTACCTACCATGTATGTCTAAATACTACAGAGCATAATAACTCTCTAAACTGCTTAACATACTATTTGATTACAATATACAGCAAGGTGTGAATGAATAATTCTACAGGACACATAAAAATCAATCCTATTTCTTTCTTAGTCACATTATATGCACTTCATCTTCCCAGGTTGCTGTTGATGCACTTTGAAAACAATTACAGCATGTTTAGCTTCTCTATCAGACTGGCTTTTGGTAAATCAGAACTTCCACTACTGTGCTCCTCATTCTTCTAAGTTATTACCTTTATAAGTAATAGTAAATTATGTTAATTTACTTATCTGTACTTGTAGAACACCCTGCAAAAGAGGAAAAATGTATTCTTAAAAAATATAGTCAGCTAACAAATAACCTGATTTTAACATGGGCAAAGAACTTAAAACATTTCTCCAGAGATAGCACAAATGGTCAGCATGTGTAGAAAAAGATGCTCAATACCACTAATAATTAAGGAAACGCATATAAAACCCACAAGATATTGTTTCACTCTTCTTAGGACTGCTACTATTTAAAAAATAGAATATAAGTGTTAGCAAGGATGTAGAGAAATTGGAATGCTTGTGCACTGTGGATGAAACTAAAATGGTACAGCTGCAGTGCAAAACAGTATGGCAGTTCCTCCAAAAAATAAAATTACCATATGATCCAAGCAATCTCACTTCTGGGTATATACCCACAAGAACTCAAAGCTGAGTCTCAGAGATATGTGCACACCCGTGTTTATAGCAGCCTTATTCACAACAGGCAAGGCATGGAAGCAAGCCAGGCAACCATCAATGGATGAATGGATAAACAAAATGTGGTATATACATAAAATGGAATATTATTCAGCCGTTAAAGGGTAGGATATTCTGACACATGCTACAATACAGATGAACACTGAGGACAGTGTGCTAAATGAAATAAGCCAGTCACAAAAAGACAAACATGTATGACTGCATTTATATGATATACCTTAGAGTAGTCAAATTAATAGTATAAAATGGTGCTTTTCAGGGGTTGGGGGCAGAGGGGAGTGGAAAGCTGTTGTATAATGGGTATTACAGCTTCAGTTTTGCAAGATAAAACAGATCTGGAGTTATCTACTTGAATAACTGATTAATTTGAAGCATTCAACTTCCTCACAGAAAATTACTCTATACCAGGGACAGGGAGCACCACCTGTTTTTGTACTATTCATGAACTAAAATGGTTTTTACATTTTTAAATGTTTGCAAAGGGGAGATCAAAAAGAAGAGCATTTCATGACAAGTAGAAATCACGTGAAATTCAAATTTCAGTGTCCATAAAAAAAGTTTTATTGGAACAAAGCCACGCCCATTCAGACAGAGAGTAATTCTAACAGAGACCTTTTGGCCTAAAAAGCCTAAAATACTTACTAACATGCTCTTTGCAAAAAGTCTGCCAACTCATGCTCTATACCTAATTCCAAAATAAGGAATTAGGTACAAAGCAAGAATAAAATGAAGTAAATAATAGTTTTTTAAATTTTGATTTAATGATTCTTTTAAAAATACAAAAGAAAACTCTTTTATGTGGCTTTTTATTTCTACCATCAAGACATCTGCATATACAAAGAGGCACACAGGCATGTGAGCACATGTGTTATTTTTAATACCTGCAGTATCTGGAGTTAAGCCTCAATCTTAGGATAAACTTTCATTAGTAGTCAAGCTCTTTGGGTACTCAATAAATACAGGATTTATACAACTACTTAATTACCCAGCTTTGCCTTCTCAAATAACTGGGTTAAAGTCATTTTTATTTTATACAAATTTAGAAAAGATATCCTAAATAAAGTTGCTGAGGG